CTCTCTCTACTTTCTTTCTGTCTCTCTCTCTCTCTCTCTCTCTCTTTCTCTTTCTCTCTCTCTCTCTCTTTGCAAAGGCAGATCGGCGCTGAATTCAAACCAGGAGGGAGGGAGGGAGGGAGAGGAGGGAGAGGTGGGGGAGGGAGGGAGAGGAGGGGGGAGGGAGGGAGGGAGGGAGGAGAGGTGGGGGAGGGAGGGAGGGGGAGGGAGGGAGGAGGGAGGGAGGGTGGGTGGGAATTGCAAACCTGTCAAAAAGGTTCAGTGTTGTGACTGTGGCTGTGGCTGTGGCGCTGATCACTCGCGAGCCCTCGCCTTGCACTGGGGTCCCGCAGGTCTCGCCATATGCTTTTGCAAACGATTGCAAACCCCCCCCCACCCCCAGCCACCCACCCACCCTCCACGCACCCACCCCCCCCCTCCTCCCCCCCCCCCCCCCCCCCCCCACCCCGGGCACACAGACAAATAAATGTGTTAGCAGCAAAACACGGCGATCGGACACCCCCTCGTTCTGCGAAACAGCCCCTCCTGCATCCGAGCAGCTTCACTTCCTACTCCCCTCTGCGTCTGTCACACCACCGCCACAGCCACAGCACTGCACAGCACTGCAGCGCACACACTCACTCACTCACTCACACACACACCACACACACACACACACACAGAGCGAGAGAGAGAGAGAGAGAGAGAGGGAAAAAAGATTGAATTGCTTAATGCATGCAAGTGAACTTTCCCTGAACCCAGCCCCAGCCCTGCTAACCTTCAAATGACCCAAACCCAGCCTGACATCACCAACTCCCAGGATTCCCACAGCACTCTGCATTTCCAGCAGCTCCAGCAAAAAAAAATATATATATATATGTAGCAGCAGAGCACAGAGCACAGATCCACGGGAATCCGGATCCAGTGTGAAGAGACACTGGTGTGTGTGTGTGTGTGTGTGTGTTTTTTTGCAAAAGGAGTCATCAGAAAGCAATGCAACGCGAAGCCCTCACTAAAGTATTGTGCACATTATGATCCCCCCCACACACACACACACCATCACTACCCTCCCTCCCTCACTCACTCACTCACTCCTTCCTCCCTCCAGGAAAACTGTTCCAGTTCGTGTAAGAATTGCATTCTCACCCTCCGAGAGATTGTTTCATGCCATCGCATCAACCTGCAGGGAAAAATGCACGTCCAAGATTTCCCATCCAGAAATCCCGACCCTCTCTGCACTTTCTTTTTTTTATTTAAAAAAGGGAAAAAAAAAGAAATGCATTTTTTTTATTTAAAAAAAAGAAATGCATTTGACCTGCAGGTTTCTGCCACTTGAGCTTAAGTGTCCCCTTTGATTTTTTTTTGCAAGCAATGCAGGTACATTTAGCTGCCAAGCACTAACTTTCAAGGTGGGAAATGTTATTCCAAGTGTTGTTGTCAAAAATTACAATGGCAAAGACCTTCACTGAACACCGGATTGCTGAATCTGCAAATAAAATAATTTAGGCAAAGCCAATATGCTAATTAATGTCAGAGCTGGGGCAATGAGCTATTTTTATCAGGAGCTGGCAAGGCCATTTGAATTATGCATCTGATGTTTGTGTCACTAGGTAAATGGAGTGACACAAACATTACTCCCTTACTCCCTGACTCCCTTACAGATTCAGCAGCAAGGCATTCGCTGAATGTTGGCTATCTGGAGATAACAAGACCTGTCGCATGCTTGGAAAATCGTGCTATCATTGGCAACAACCACTACATTCACATCACAAAATCAGTCAGTGTCACTGACGAAGAGCATCGCCGCTCTAAGAAAAGATTCCTTGGCGCATTTTTGGACACAGCATCGACTATTAAGAAAATTGGTTTGTGGGCGGACTCGTGTCTGAGAAAATAAATGGATTATATATGGATTTTTCCACCTGCCTGTAAACATAGTACATGCATCATAACCAAACACTGAATAGACAAATTCAATCCTATTATTCCCCTCCCATTTCCCTTGAGCAATCATTAAAGCAGAGCAAAATGGTAATTGATGAGTGATGTGCATTTGTTGTTAAAGTGGGGACAATGCCAGCGTAGCATTTTACAGCCCTGGACAAGTAGTGTCTCTGAGATCCTGCTGCCTGGGCTGCCTTCTGTGAGGACAGAAATGCCTTCATGTCAGTTGCTGGGTGAATTAAAAGATGAAACAAAAAACTGCCTGTCACTCAAAGGCTTTCATTTCAGAGCATCATTTTATGGTACCTGCAGGGTTCCTCCTGCGGCTCCAGCAAAAGAGAAATTCCCACTGTTTTAATTCTCAGCTAAAACTTCTCGCTGAATGGAAGGTCTGGATCAGGTAAAGCAGCAGCTTTTTAGAAAGCTGCATGCCAGAGAAGGTGAAATACAGCATATCTCATTGATATGATCTGCAGATGAAGCATTGGTGTGCATTTTCCTTTTGCATTTGTGTAGTGGCCTTTACACACATAGCTTCTGCAAAGCTGAGATAATTGTGGAAATTGGAATCGGCTTCCACGGCTATAAGTCTGCTAGTTTCGACTGTAAACTCAGAGTCAAATAAAAGCAGCTAGGCAAAAAGAGCATCTTCGTCTGAAGCTATTATCATACCAAAGTGTGGCTTAATTCAAATATCCCATTCAGTGGTAATGTAAAGAAATCTATTATGGGGAGCAAAAATCAATGCAAATATTTTCAGTATAAATTAAGCAGTAGGTGCTTTGAAAACAAAAGGTGGATTAACAAAGAAACCTTTAAAAGGAGTGATTAGGTTGACCTGTCTAGATTTATCTTTGAAGGGGACAAATTGCTATCCCCTTTTATGCTAAATAATCCCTTTAACAATGTGTTTTGTTTTACCAATGAGCATAATAATACAGTTCAAATATGTTTTACCTGAATGGACAGCATCTGGTTGAGATTTTAAAAATCATTTGAGATTGTTCTGACACGACTTATTTTTAATGTTATTTTGGTTTATCATGAAATATCTGCGGGGGGTGGGGGGGATTAGTTGTATTTCATGAAAAATACAATGTGACAATCAAAGATGTTATGAAGTGTTACAACTTTCAGCACATTACAACTTGATGGAACAAATGGAATAGGAGAAGCGCATCAACTTGCATTGATATAATAATAATAATAATTCTTACATTTGGTATAGTGCCTTTCACGCCAGGAAAGCACTTCACACGATTTACAGTAAAGTGGAGTGACTCTGTGTTTTGTGAGAGAAAGGCTACAATATAGCACCTTACGCACGGGGCAGCGTCTCAGAGCACTGAAAAATTGAGTACTTTGCCACCGCTGACAAACAGAAGTATAACGCTGACTGCAATAATATTGGTTCCATACTCTCCCGCCCCTCCTCCCCATCAAAACAAAATATAAAATAAATGCTATAGTGTCTTGAAGATACAATGTATTTTAAAATAACAAGTCACATTAGCATTTTATTCATTTATCGTTTGATTGTATGTGTGACGACCACACACAATCCCCCCCTTCCCCCCCACCCTCCCCCACCTCCTCCGTGGATAAGAGAGCTGATGATAGAGGTAACATGTTTATGTGCTCAGTCACATCTCAACTTTGATCATAAAGCCTTTCTCTTGAGTTAGCTCTCTTATTTCTTTAGGTAGACGTTAGACGTTCAGTGGCATAATTTGATCTTTTTTCTCCAGTGTGGCTGATGTCCCCATGACAGTATATTTACTTACCTCCACCTCATGGCTGATTGAGGAGAGACCTTGCAGTGTGTACAATAGCTGCCTACTTAAACAGCCAGTACAACTGAATGTTTCGACATGATAAAAAAAAACTCTTTCTTCTTTCTCTCCCATTTAGCAGATATACTGCTAGGTTTCGTACAGGCATTAAGGCATAATCAATTAACCATGAAAAAATTTAATTTGTCTGATAATATTTATCAACTTCATATCTCAGAATCTCAGAAACAGTGAAGTGGTTCAGTGAACTAGAAACATTCTGAGTAGCTTAGTCGGATGAGCACTGAATTTGAGGAGAGAAACTATCTACAGGATTAGGCCTCCGCCCTATTGAGCTACTTAGCCATTTTCTTAGATCTCTCAATATCATTTGTCTGCCTTTACCCAATGTGCTGTGATAACCTTCCTAATCAACAACAACAACTTGGATTTGTATAGCTCCCTCCACACCGGAAGGCATCTCAGAGTGCTTCACAGTAACGGATACCGGGGCCAAGCCAGGGGAGGGAGGAGGAGAAAGGTGACCAAAGGCGCGGTCGAAAAGAAAGGTCTTCAGCAGAGACCTGAAAATAGGAAGAGAGGGGACGAGGCGAAGGGAGTGAGGAAGGGAGTTCCAGAGCCTTGGGGCATAGTGGCTGAAGGCACGGCCGCCGAGGGTGGAGCAGAGGATTTGGAGGACAAGGAGGAGGCCAGACCCGAAGAAACAAAGCAACGGGCACTGTTGTGAGGAGATAGGAGGTCAGAGAGGTAGGGGGGTGTAGAGGAGTGGAGGGATTTGAAGACAAGGGTGAGGATCTTGAAATCGGTCCTCTCTGGGATAGGCAGCCAGTGCAGTCTGGCAAGAACTCAAGTATGTATCTACTAGAAATGTGAGGATTATTATTATTACTTTGCTCTTTAGCATTCCCACCAACTCTGCATTAACACTAGATGGAAGATGATGATACCATAAATAATAATAATCCTTGCATTTGATATCGGGCCTTTCATATTGGTAGGATGTCCCCAAGCACTTTGCAATATATACATATTGAGTTGTTTGCCTTATAAAACACTACAAAAATGCATGTTCTTTACATTTTGCCAGCCAAAACCTTAATGGGTGGGCCAGTACCAGTTAGACAAGAACAGTTTTATGCAGTTGTCCATTCAGTGAACTGACGTGTAAACATGCTGCAACTCAGAGTGGCAAAGACTCAATTAGTCAGAAGTAGAGACAGCTCACTGCTTCACTGGGAGATCAAAACAGTCGCTCTTGGACACCACCTAATGGTTGCATTCAAA